GGAACCTGCTCCCAGCTGCACCTGGAACTGCGATTGCAGCAGGATGAATTTTCATATGACGGCTGGTGTGACACCTGTAAAGAATGATCAGCCCAGACCTGAAGAGCTGTGGCTGGTGTGTCAGAGCAAATCTGACACTGGTAGGAAACCAGCTGGGAGCAGAGTTTGTGGTGGAGCTTGGCCTGCACAGCTGTGGTGATCAGCACCTATAGTCCCTGAGGCTGATGCTGGAAGAACAAACATCACTGCTGTACTGACAGATGGCTGATCAAAAGTTGAACTCACAATGAAACCCAACCTTGTGTTGGTGGGCGAGAGCTTTAGCCATGCTTCTAGGCTGTCTATGAATGTTTTTCCCTCTCTTCTTTCGAGGTGCTCATCCTCACTGCCCTCCCCGGCTGTCCAGCCCCACGGAGCCATGCCGGTGTGAGCTGTGATGCAGGCTGGCATGGAGCCTATTTGCTGCCACTATCCAGAAAATGTTGCCAGGTTTTCTACCTTTGGATATGGTTTGAGCTCCAGTGGGCAGGAGTGGGAGGTGGTGCAGCAAATCAGCCTTTTCCTGGGATATGTATCCTAGAGAGGAAGTGAGAGGTGGGACAAGGAACCTCCTTTTCTTGCTCTGCCTGGGAGAGACTGGCCCTAAAAGGAGTGAGCAGCAGCTCCGCTTTCCCAGTGTTTTTCAATTGGAAAGACTGCGAGGCAGGTACTGTCTCCATGGGTACAGGGCAATTTGGATTAACTTGGAAATTGCCACTTCCAGGCTACAAAACATTACCAGGAGAACCCAGACTGACCCCTGGGGCACACTGCTGGTTACCAGTGTTCAACCAGACTTTGTGTCACTGACCAGCGTCGTCTCGGCCCAGACATTCAGCCAGTTCCCAGTCCACCTCGTTGTCTGCTCATCCAGCCCAGAGGCCTTCTGGCATCTCTGTCACTTGGGTTAGGAAGTTATCATCAGTGATGTCCTGGAATATTCTGGATTGCCTGTGCCCTGCTGTGCTGTCCTTCCATGAGATGTTGGGGTGGCTGAAGTTCTCTGTGAGAACCAGGGCTGCAAACACAAGGCTGCTGCTCGCTGTCCACAGAGCACCTCATCTGCTTGCTCTTCCTGGCCAGGTGGTCTATAGCAGAGACCCCCTACAATGTCATCTATGTTGTTCTGCTTTTTAATCTTCCTCCATGAGCTCACCCTTCCCCACAGAGCTCCTGGCCCTCCCACTGTGCTCCTACATAAAGGGTGGCTCTCACTCCTCATTTCTCTTTTCCTCTGTGAAATTGTCAGCATTCTCATTCATGGCGTAGGATTTGGTGCACAAATAGACATGGATCTGTTGGAATGAGTCCAGAGGAGGCTGCAAAGATGTTCTGAGGGCTTCTTTGCAGCCTTTCTAAAGTCAGGCTGGGAGAGCAGCGGTTTTTCAGCCTGGAGAAGAGAAGCCTTGAGGGAGACCTTAGACCCCCTTTCAGTGTCTGAAAGGGCTCCAAGAGAGCCAGAGGGGGACTTGGGACAAGGGATGGAGGGACAGGACACTGGCCTTAAACTGAAGGAGGGCAGGTTTAGATTGGATATTGGGAAGAAATTCTTGGCTGTGAGGATGGGGAGGCCCTGGCACAAGTTTCCAAGAGAAGCTGTGGCTGCCTCTGGATCCCTGGAAGTGTTCAAGGCCAGGTTGGACAGGGAGCAACCTTGGAGCAACCTGAGATAGTGAAACGTGTCCCTGCCCACGGCAGGGGGTTAGGCTGTATGATCTTTAGGTTGCCTTCCAGTCCAAACCATGCTGGGACTCTCTGAAACCCGGACAGCAGGAAGCCCTCCTGCAACGCCCTCCCCATGGCCTTGCTCCACACTTCTGTAGTGTCTTTTCTTGTCTGCTTCCTTTCCCAGGTGCAAGTGTGGGACACAGCTGGCCAGGAGAGGTTTCGGAAGAGCATGGTGGAGCACTACTACCGCAACGTGCACGCCGTGGTCTTCGTGTACGACGTGACCAAGATGAGCTCCTTCACCAACCTCAAGACGTGGATCGAGGAGTGCAATGGGCACGCGGTGCCCCCGCTCGTCCCCAGGGTGCTCGTGGGGAACAAGTGTGACTTGAAAGACCTCATCCAGGTGCCATCCAGCCTGGCCCTCAAGTTCGCCGATGCTCACAACATGCTTTTGTTTGAGACATCGGCCAAGGACCCACAGGAAAGCCAGAACGTGGACGCGATTTTCATGTGCCTGGTGTGCCGGCTGAAGGCGCAGCGCTCGCTGCCCTGCCGGGACACGGAGGGCTGGCCGGCGCAGCCCCAGCCGCACCCCCGGCGGCTGGACGAGGCCAGCGGGAAAGGCTCCTGCCCGTGCTGAGCGGGACCCGCCCGGACCCCAATAAAGGCTCTGAGCCCCCTGCGCTCCGACTCTTGCTTTGCGCCTCAGCCCGGTCGGCCGTAATCGCCTGTGATCGGTTCGGCGTGCAGCGTTCGGCTACAAAAATCGGTCCTATTGGGCTACAATCGGCCCTGTTCGGCCGTGCTCGGGCTATCTCGGTAATTATTGCCCTGACTCGGTTACAATCGGCCGGACTCGGCCCCACTCGGCTATAATCGGTCGACTCGGCTGCTATCGCCTACATCCGTCTCGGCTCGGGGCGGGGCGCTGCCGCGCGCAGGCGCAGTGCGCGCTGCCGCCGCCATGAAGTAGGTGTAGGGGCGTGGGGGCGAAGGCCGGGCTCGGCCCTGTCCCGCCGGTGCCGGTGCTGATGGTGCTTCGCCCGCAGCCCCCTGACGAAGGTGAAGCTGATCAATGAGCTGAACGCGCGGGAGGCGGAGCTGGGCGTGCAGGAGGCGGTGTCGTGGCACGCGGAGTACAAAGACAGCGCTTGGATCTTTGTGGGTATGGACGGGGCTCGGGGCGGGGGCCGGTGTCGGTACCGGTGCCGGTGACCCGTTCCTTCCCTCCCCTCTCCCCGCAGGCGGGCTGCACTACGCGCTGACCGAGGGTGATGTCATCTGCGTGTTCTCGCAGTAAGTGCCGCAGCCCCGGCCCCGCAGCCCCGGCCCCGCCGCCGCGGTGCTGACGGTGTGTGTGTCACAGGTACGGCGAGATCGTCAACATCAACCTCGTGCGGGACAAGAAGACCGGGAAGTCCAAGGGCTTCTGCTTCCTGTGCTATGAGGACCAGAGAAGCACCATCCTGGCTGTGGATAACTTCAATGGGATCAAGGTGAGTGGAGCTCAGGTGCTGCCATGGCTCCCTGAGTGCTCCCTGACGTGGGCAGCGACCCTGGGAGCGGGGAGCTGGCGGTGACAGCCCGGCCCCGCAGATCAAGGGACGGACCATCCGCGTGGACCACGTGGCCAACTACCGCCCCCCGAAGGAGTCTGAGGACTGGGATGACGTGACTAGAGCCCTCCATGCCAAGGGCTGCGGGGTCAAAACGCCACCTCACACCTCGTCTGACTCGGCGTCTGAGGATGAGGATGTGCCCGTGAAAAAGCAGAAAGGTAAAAGAGTGTTCCTGACAGGCTGGGTCCCAGGTGGGCGTGCCCATGGTAGGGTTTGGGGGCTGGAGTCTGCATGGAGAGAAGGTTGGAGGAACAAAAAAGGGGACAAAATGAAGGTGTTGCTACAGAGTGCTGAGGAGATGCTCAAAAATCAGGGAGAAGGAGAGCCATGAGGGAAGAGTCCTCAGGTCTGGAGAGGTAATTTCCACAAAGTGGATCACAGTATTACTGAGGAAAGGGAATGAAAGGGAAGTTGGAAGTTCTCAGCATTCCAAGTGGTGTGGAAATGCCCAGCATTGCTGGGAAGAACATGATGTGAATGTTAAAAGAGGAAAGTGGGGTGGCTGCAGCTGGATGAGAAGAAGTTGTGATTGGAAGTGAACTGGGATCTCCCTGAGGGGGAAGCAGGCTGGGAAATTGGGTGGAGGGGGAGAATTTCTAGTGGAAGATGAGTTGGGATGATGCCAGGGGAACCATGGGGAGCAAGCTTCTCCTGGAGTTTGGTCCATCCGGAAATGTGAACCCAAATTCCAGAGAAGCAGCGGAGCAGAGCAGAACGGTCCAAGCCGAGCCCACAAGCTGGGAAGCGGGTGAGCACGGAGGAGCCCCATCCCAGGATCAAGATCAAGAAGGAGAAGGAGGACCCCGGGTACGAGCGCTATGCTGGCGGCAGCGCCGACAGGAACGCCGGGAGCAGGACGCAGCGGGATGAGGAGCAGCGGCGGCACCAGCGGCACTCGGACAGCCGGGGGGACAAGAACTGCCGCGAGCAAAGGGGCCAGAGCAGCTCCTGGGATGAGCGGGAGAAGAGGGAGGAGGCTGGCAGGAGGGGCGATGGGCACAGCAGCCGGCATGACGCGTCTCCCAGGGCAGGCAGATCTCGGGAGCCCCATTCCAGGCACAGGGAGCGGGGCTCTGGCAGAGACTCTGGTCGCTGCTGAGCCCTGGGTGAGCGTTTAGGGTGAGGGAGGCTCTGAGCCTGCCCAAACCTGCTCCAAGCTCCTGGGATGCCATGGCTGGACCTTTCACCTGCGAGCTTCCCTTGCCTCTCATCCCACGGCCAGGGCTCTCCACGCTGCCCGTGCTGCTGGCTGGGACAGGGTTTTGTCCTTCAACTGAGGAGGGTGTCAAGCAGTGAAGGCTGGGAGCAGCAGGACGCTCCCCTTCCATAACTCCCTTGGGGCCGTGTCCCCTTGCACTGGGTGTGGAGGTTGCTGGGTGTCCTGTCTGGCCTCATGGGCCGGGTTTGGGCCCTGTGCCCACCCAGCATCTTCTGGATTCCATGATGTATCCATAGCGCTGCACCGCTGTGTTGGGGTGATTTATCATGGATTTGTTTAAAGGTTTCTTAATAAAAGTTCCTGTTAGGGAGAAGCTGGTCCCGGGAGCAGTGTTCCTGTCTGTGGGCCAGGAAGGAGGCGTCACCTGTTTTTCTTACGCTTATTTTAGGCTTATTTGGCTGGAAAACCGAGAGGGATGGAGCGTGGGATTCGCAGGGTGGACAAGGGAGGGGCTTTAGCTGGGTTTGGTTGCTATAACGAGTAATCCCTCCAGTCGGGTCCGTGCCGGTTCTAGGCGCAAGGGGGAATTTCCTCCCCGGAGCAGCCGGGATCGCTCCGCGACAGCCGAGGGGCGTGCGGCGGGGTTGGGGTGCGGGCAGCCCCTGCGGCTTCCGCCGTCCCGGCGCGGTGCCGCCGGGGCCGGCAGGGGGCACGCGCGGCGCGGCGGTGAAGAGCCCGGTTCCGGCCGCGGTTCCGGTTCCGGTCCCGGCCCGGTGGCGGCGGCGCGCGCGGCGGTGTCCGCCCGCCATGCGATGTCCGCGCTCAACTGGAAACCCTTCGTGTATGGCGGGCTCGCCTCCATCGTGGCCGAGTTCGGTGAGGCGCAGGGGCCGGGCGGGACCGGGACGGGCGGGACCGGCACATGTACCGGCGGGCGCTGAGGCCGGTGTCCCCGCTCTCCCCGCAGGCACGTTCCCCGTGGACCTCACCAAGACGCGGCTGCAGGTGCAGGGGCAGAGCGCCGACGCGCGGTTCCGCGAGGTGCGGTACCGGGGCATGTTCCACGCGCTCTTCCGCATCTGCCGCGAGGAGGGCGGACGGGCGCTGTACTCGGGGTGAGTACCGGGGCCGGGCCCGCCGGGGCCCATCGGCAGCGGGTGCCGCTTCTCCCGGGGCCCCCTCCGTCCATACCGGGACACCCACCCGTCTGCCACGGGTTGTCCACCCGGCCCGGCCCCTCCTTGCACTCCCCCGGGCCTCCCCGGCGCCTGCCCCGGCTCCTTCCCCTCTGGCTCAGGAGCTCCCACCGCCTGTGCTGGGCTGCCTCTTCGGCTGCAGCATTGCCCTGTCTGTCATGTTCGCCCCCACCAGCTCGTCCCAGGTTCCCCCTCCATCCCGACATCTCCCTCTGCCCACCCCAGGCCCTCCCAATACCCACCCCAGGGACCTCTCCCACCCCCCGACATCTCCCCCTGCCTTCCCCGGGTCTCCCCTACATCCCGGGTTCTTCCCCTCTGACGCCCCAGCCCTGCCCTACCTCTGTCCCGGCACCCCCTCCCCAGCCCGGCTCCCCTCTTCCACCTTCTGTCACGGCATCCCTCCACTCCCTTGCTCTCTGCCCATCCCGGCTCCCCATTTCCTGTATGCTGCTGTGACCCCCTGGATCCCTCCCTGCCTTGTCCCCCTGAGCGGAGTCCCCTGGTGTTCCCAGGGCCAGGGCTGCGTGGGTGCCATCTCCTGGCACGGGGGTGTGTGGGGCAATCCCGGATAACCCGGGCAGAGCTGCATTCTTCGGAGCCCCAGCGGGGTCGTGCCTGGCCCCCGCAGTTTGAGGCCCGGGCTAGCCCGCAGGGATGCTCAGGGTCCGTTCTCCCTCAGGATCGCCCCGGCGCTGCTGAGACAGGCGTCCTATGGCACTATCAAGATCGGGATCTACCAGAGCCTGAAGCGGCTCTTTGTGGATCGCATGGAAGGTCGGTGTTGGGAAGGGCAGCGCGAGCACCTCCCAGCTCCCCCGCCTCACACTCTGGGCTGTGTGTTTTGCTCATTCCTTGCTCTGTCCTTTCCACCCCAAGATTCCCACAGGAATGGAGCTCTATTACTGGGTGCTGTGGTTTTGTTTGTCAGTGAGAGCAAGGATTGGATTCAGTCCTGATTGGAACCTCACTGTGCTCTGCACTGCCTGTAGTTCCTACCCAAACATCTCCTTTCAGCCAGCTTCCTTCCTTTCACGAAATCATAGGAGAATCACAGAATCCTTTGGGTTGGAAAAGACGTCCAGCCTGTGTCTGATCCCAGCCTTGTCCCTAGCCGAGAGCGCTGAGTGCCACCTCCAGTCCTTCCTTGGACACCTCCAGGGATGGGGATTCCAGATCTCCCTGGGCAGCCCCTGCCAATGCCTGTCCACCCTTTCCGTGAAGAAATTCCTCCTGATGTCCAACCTGAGCCTCACCTGGCACAGCCAGGCACATTCTGGATAGGAATTGTGCAGTCCAGCTCTCTGGCTTTGGCCCTGACTATAAAGGTGAGGTTCCACCAGTGCCCTTGACCTGTGCCCTCTGCAGCTCCTGCCTGGGGAGTGGAGCAGCAAGAGTCTGGTGGATGTTCCCTGAGGGAGCACCGAGATCTGCAGGTGAGGTTTCCATCCCTGCTGTGATGTGAGGGAATGTGGTAACACTGTTCCAGCCTGGGAAAGCGGGATGGGCCATACTATATGAAGTTGTGTCAGGGGAGGTTTAGGTTGGTATCAGGAGAAGGTTTTTTTTCCCAAGAGGGTGCTGGGGCACTGCCCCAAGGTTGACAGAGCTCTAGGAGCATTTGGACAGCAATCCCAGGCACGGGGTGGGATTGTTGGGGATCTGTGCCGGATCAGGAGTTGGACTGGATGATCTTTGTGGAACCCTTCCATCTCAGGAGATTCTGTGACTCTAGAGGTCCATTCAGGGCTGCTGTCCTGCTTTAGTAAGACCTCTCCCTGTGTAGTTCTGTCTGTGTACACAGTCCCCACACCCCCTTCACTGTTCCAGCCTCTTCAGCTGTGAGCTCCATGCCTGGATGTTTGTCTCCCTACAGGCCTGGGGCAGCCAGTGGCCTGGTGTCCTCTGGGAAGTGTCGTGGTCAGTACCAGCAAAGGCCTGTGTGTTTTCCCAATGTAACCATCATCCTAACACTGGGCCTGGAATCTGGGGTTATTCCCTGGCACTAATCACATCTAACTCCCTGCCTGTTCTCAGTTCTCAGCTGGCTCCAAGTGGCTGCGTGTAGGCAAATCCAGGGGGCCTGGGGAAACACTGGGTTGTCCTTCTCTGTCTGCCTCTGTCCTGGCTCATCCCTGCAACGAGAAATCTCAGATAATTGTTCACAATTTTCACGTGTCCCAGGATTTTCCTTCTCATCAGTCAGACCCTCTGAGAGTGCATTGCTGAGTGTTTCAGCTGCCACCTTCTGTCCCTGACAGGTGTGGGGACAGACCTGTCACGGGCTGTGGCATCTGCCCAGGCCCTGCTCCTGCAGCTTCACCATCTGATTTGAGAACTGAGCTGCTCTACCCAGCCCTTGTTCCCTCCTACTGTGTCCCCTGCAGTGAGGTCTGTCCTTCTTTCCTTGGTTGCAGATGAAACGTTGCTCATCAATGTGATCTGTGGGGTGGTCTCGGGGGTCATCTCCTCTGCGCTGGCCAATCCCACAGATGTGCTGAAGGTAAGGGCTGCTCCTGGCTGGCTGTGGGACCCATGGGAGGAGCAGCTCAGTGCTCCCTGAGCCACCAGTTCTGCTTGTTTGGGTTTTTCTTAATGAATGGGGGCCAAAGCCCATGGTCTTTAATAGATATTTAAAACCACAGATCTTAAAGACCACAGAATCCTGGAATGGTTTAGGTTGGGATGGACATGAAAAACTATCTCCCTCCACCTCCTGCCACAGGCAGGGACACCTCCCACTACACCAGGTTCCTCCAAACCCTGTCCAACTTGGCCTGGAACATTTCCAGGGATGGAGCAGCCACAGCTTCTCTGGGCAACAAGGATCATGACACTTGTACTGGTGAGGGGTGGGAGCTGTGATACCCAACCTGGGCCAGGTGAGCCAGCTGCTCCTGTCCCCTTGGTCATGGTGCTGGCACTGCCCCAAGGGCCTGCCTTTTACATGGAGTGAGCACAGCCCAGTGGGGGCTGTCTGGTGCCCTGGGCTCAGGGTAGCCCTGCTCTGGGCAGAGAGAGCCTGTAGAACTTCCCAGAGCTGCTCTGTTCTTTCTCCCAGGAGTTCCATGGAGCTGCTGTCCCTGGTGTCCTTTTCTGTGGGCAAGTGCTGGTGTCAGGGCAGGTGTTGACGTCCGCTTGTTGACTCTTCCCTTTCTTTCAGATCCGAATGCAGGCTCAGGGCAGCTTGTTCCAGGGTGGGATGATTGGCAGCTTCATTGACATCTACCAGCAGGAAGGTACCCGAGGCCTCTGGAGGGTGAGCACCAACTCCTAGAATCCCCCAGCAGCAGCAGAACTAAGAAAAATCTTTGGGAAGCAGGTGCTCTCCTGCTGTTCTGTAGCAAGGAGCAGCTGGAGCCCCTCCTAGCCCCTTAAACTGCTGCTCTTGTGGGGCAGAATCTTTTCTGGTGTTGAAATTGGTGCAGGAGGTGAGGGGGTGACAGCCTAGTTCCTGCGTGCTCGTGCTGGGAGCAGGGAAGCAGTGTGGAGTTAATCCAGCTGGAATAACGCTGCCAGGGTGGAGACATCCTCCTTGGCTTTGAAGCAAAGCTGGAAGGCAGGTGGTGTGCTTGCAGGGAGGGTGCAGGGAAGGTGTCAGGAGAAGGCCCTGCGAGGAGCTGGGGGATGTGGCTGCAGTTGGTGACAGTGTCCGTACTGCACAGGGTGTTGTCCCCACGGCCCAGCGAGCGGCCATCGTGGTGGGGGTGGAGCTGCCAGTCTATGACATCACCAAGAAGCATCTGATCCTGTCAGGCCTCATGGGGGACACCATCTTTGCCCACTTTGTGTGAGTACCTGCTGCAGGCTTGGGGGGCTGTGTGAGGCAGAGGAGCCAGGCGGGGCTGGGGAAAGACCATTCGTGGAGTGAGGGCTCCGGAGCTGCAGGGAGCAGGTGAGTGCTTCCAGAGCATCTGGAGCAGGGTTAGTACTTCCAAAGGATCTGCTCTGTCAGCTGGAACAGTTCAGAGTTAGCAGCAGGTGTGGAATCATTAGGGTTGGATAAGACCTCCAAGACCATCGCGTCCGTTCCCCCAGCACTGCGAAGGCCACCACTAATCCATCCCCACCTCCCAGAGACCTCCTTGGGGAAGGACCTGGCAGAAATCCTTTGGTGACATGAAATGCCAGCTTGGTTTCAGCTGGCTAATGACAGAAATGTTGCCCCACATCTGTGCCCTAGTATGAGCCAGGCAGGAGATCCATGTGTGTAGCTACGTGTAACAATCCCTCAAAAGCTGCTCTAATCCCTAGTACTCATCTGTCCAGACCCTGTCATCTTGCAGCCCCTGCTGGAAGAGCCTTGAGAGAGGAGCAAGCACAAAGCTGGTAGGACCCAGAGCAGTCAGTCAGTGTTGCAGTCAGCTTGCTCTGGGCAGGGCTGGCAGAGAACATTGGAATCCTTTTTCACCTCCATGTTGCAAATGCTGCAATGCTTCCATTGGCTTTGCCAGCTGGGGTGAGGGTGAGGAACACTAGACCCTCTGTGGAGGGGAAGACTGGCAGCTCTGTGGTCCTTTCTGGTGTCTTTGCTCTTCCTCCCTCCTTCCCGAAGAAATGTTTACTCTGGTGGGAAGGATGTGCACTCCCAGGGGGTGCCTTCACATCTGTGTCACCTGGGCAGCACCTGGGATCCTTGCAGGGCTGCCAGTGTCCTGTAGAACCAGCTGTGGCTCAGGTGAGGGTCTGGGTTAGCTGAGCTGAGCATTTCCCTCCCCTGAGCTCCACAGGGTCCTGTGGCAGCCCCACACTGCCCCTTTTCCAGGTAGGAGCAGGTAGTGCACCTCATGTTCATTGCTAAATGCCTTTGCTGAAGTCCAGTGGAAGGTATTTTGTGTATGTCTGAGCGGGAGTGGCCGTGCCCAGGGCTGTCCCTGCCCTGATTTGGTGTGTGCAGTTCCAGCTTCACGTGCGGGCTGGCGGGAGCCATCGCCTCCAACCCTGTGGACGTGGTGCGGACGCGGATGATGAACCAGCGCGCGATCGTGGGCAGCACCGAGCTCTACAAGGGCACGCTGGATGGCCTCGTCAAGGTGAGGGGACAGGTGGGCACACCCCTGTCCTGGGAGGCTGGCCAGGTCTCAGCACCACACTGATGGGAGCAGTGAGATCCTGCAGTGACACAGTGCGTCGTCAGTGAGGTGGGAGAGGGCCCAGAGTCACTTTCCTGAGGCCACTGTCGGCCTCAGCCTCCTCCCAGCCTCCTGGGACAAAGTTCAGGCCATGATGCAGGTAGCAGGGTTCAGAGACTGTAAGTGATGCTGCACACACTTGCACGGGCCTGTCTGCTCCCTGCAGCTGCTGGGCAGGACCAGTGGCACACACGTGGCAGTGGGGAGAGAGGGAGGTGGCAGGGCGTGGGCCTGGTGTGTCTCCTCATCCATTTGTCTCCTCCCAGACATGGAAGAGTGAGGGCTTCTTTGCACTCTACAAAGGCTTCTGGCCCAACTGGCTTCGTCTGGGTCCCTGGAACATCATTGTATCCTTCCCTATGCTGCTGGGAGGTGGTGGAGTGGGACAAGGGGAGAACCCCGCTGGGAAGGGCAGGGCAGAGCTGACACCCCGATAGGATGCACTGGGGACCCTAATGGGCACTGCTGATGGTTCCTGTAGAGCCTCTGAGGGCTTGGCTGAGACCTTGCGTGGCCTGGGCTGCAGGAGATTCCTGGATGAGCTCCTGTTTGAGAGGGAATCGTGGGGAACATTCTGCTGCTGAGGCAGGTGCTGACTGTGCAGGACCAGCGCTGCTGTGTGCTGAGCCAGAGCATTCTGCCTGCTGAAACTGGGTGGGGAGTTCACTGTGAAGAGCTCCCAGTCTGGGCTTGGAGCCACTTCCCTTTCCCTGAGGTCTGGGCAAGGCTGGGTTTGCTCTGGGTCCGTCTCTCCACTCTTGGCAGCACCTGTGCCCCATCTCTGTTCCACCTGGGCAGCTCAGGTTGTGCTGCCTGGACAGGGAGCTCCATAGGTGGGTTTAAGGAGCTCCCTGGATGGGTGTCCAGCTGCCTCACATCTGTCCCAATTCCTTGACGTTCCCTTCAGTTTTTTATCACGTATGAGCAGTTGAAGCGCCTCCCCTTCTGAGAGCTGCCTTCATCTCACCAGAGTCATCCTCGGGGCTGGCAGCAGAGCTGTGCTGCCACCTCCCTCTTCATCCCACTGTCCCCATGTCGTGGTGTTTGGTCCCTGTGGGCTGGGCTCTCCCCACATGCACGGTTCCTGGAGCACGAGCTGCCTGGCACGGGGGGGGCCGCATGTTTCCCACCCGGAGGTGTCCGTGTGCCTGAGCCTGCAGGAATATCTTCTATGAAGATCTGTGTGTTCCAGTGGCCTTTGGGGCACTGTGGCTCGTGGCTTGCAGGTGTGGGTCTCCTCCCGTGCCCGTGGGGCGGGGCCTGTGAAGGTGCCATTGTCATCATGTTTCTTGCAGAACTTGTCACTTCATTAAATTATTTATTGACTGGATAGCTTGAGTTTGGGTCTGTGCTTATTCACTGCAGGGGTGTCTGCCCTTGGAGAGCACAGCAGCGTGGTTTTCATCATGCTATAGACCCCTTCATTCTCCAGTGAATCTGTAGGATTCATTTCAGTAGAGATATTTCTAAACCCAAATTTGTTAGTATCAGAAAATGACCCTGTTGCCCTCTCAGCTCAGTTTTGCGAAACCTCAGTCTCTTAAATTCTTGCTTATTATTACACTATTTTTGCTTAAATCATTTGTAAAGCCAGGTTCTGTGCTTTAGAGGTGAGCTCAGCACTTGAAAATGGTGATTCTGATGCTGAGCAGATATTTTGGTCATCCTCTTCTGATTTTTGGTTATTTTTTAATGTTTATGGCTATAAACATTAAAAATAACCAAAGCAAATGGTTTTTATGTTCCTGCTCCCTTTCCTCTTGTGGGGTGGCTTTGGTTTGGATGAAGGTCCCTGGTGACACAGGAGTATGTCCTGGCTGAGCCTGCTGTGAGCTGAGTTTCTGTGGAAGTCATACAAGGAACGTTCAGCCAAATCCCACTGGGAAAAATGGGAGGGAATTGGTGTTACAAAGTCAGAGCTGCAGGGGAAGGGAAGGTGACTCCCCTGAGCGCTTGGGCTGAAATCCTGCCTTGAGCAGGGCTCTCTGTGCGGGCCCAGCTCAGCAGGCTGTGCCAGGCGCTGTGTGCCAGGGAACCTGCTCCTGCGCACACAGGAAGCTCTGGGGGTGGAACTCCAACGTGGAAGGCTCCATGGGAACCAGTCAGCCCTCCTCAGGTGTTTAAGGGAGAAATACATGTCCTCCTGATATGTGAAAGCTAAAAATGACAGTAGAGCAGGAGAGGGAGGCACTGGCTCCAGCCTGTACTTGCTCCTCACTGCCCTGCCACTTCTCCCTTGCCCTTGATCTCATTTTGAGGGTTTGGACTCTCTCCAACATCAGGGCAAAGTCTCCCCAGATGTCTTCCTGAGCAAACAGAAGTAGAGGATGTGTAAGCCACCACAATCCTTCCGTGGCAGTGCAGAGCCCGGGTGTTAGGGAGGGTCCTGCAGCCGCAGCTGCCCCCATTCCCGAGCTCCTGCCCTCTGGCAGTGCCCTTCCCGCCCCACCCGCCCTCTCCCCAGTCACTGACAGACAGACAGACGCTCAGTCCTGCCCATTTCCTGGCAGCTTGGATTTTTCCAGCTCGTGAGGCAGAAGAGGCTTGTGACACTTTGTGTAGGGGCCGGAGCCATCACTGTCAGACCCTGTGAAGGTCAATCCCCTCGGGAGGTGTAAGGGGTGTTGTGGGATTCTGTAGCACAAGGATGCTGAGGTTTTGCTTTCATGAATTTCTTTGTTACAAGTTACTATTAGGTAAATACACTCATGACTAGCAAAGTGAGGGAGTGTGTACGTAGAATCATTATTTTTTACTGTTAGTAGCACTTACATAGATTTCACTGGAAGTATCACGGCAAAGTTCATCAAACTCCTGCAGGACTGAGGTCAGTCAATGATGGACAAGTTCTCCCTTTGGATATGATCTGTGTCATGGGGCCTGGAGCCAGCCTGGTGTTCCTGGGGATCTGAAGGGCTGTGCAGGGGGAGCTCCAGGACAGGGAGAGCCTCTTTGGGGCAGCAGCCAGTTACTTCTGCATGGATCCATGAGTGGGCAGAAGACACCAGCTCTCAGAGGGCCCTGGCTGCCTTCTACCTGGATCCAAGGCCCCTCTGCAGGTTGTGGTGGTTTTTTGCCCTGCAGGTTCCAGCAATTCTTTGGTTGCAGCCTCTCCAAGGATACCCTGGGCTCCCTGTTGTGCTTGCCAAGGGCACTGCAGGTTCCCAGCTGTGAATGCTGCTGTTCCAGGCTGGCAGATGTTTGTCCATCTGTTTGAGCCCACATCTCTTGTCAGTACTTTCCCCCATTGTAACCAGGTCGCCTTGAGGGTTGCTGTTCCAGCAGGGTGTCAGTGGTGTTCCCTTGGTCCCAGCAGCGAGAAGCTGTCCTGGGTCTGCCAGTGACCCCCAGGAGCCCCACGAGCTGTGCTGGACTTTGGGAACTCTCTGTGCTTGTCCCTATTCCCAGCCCCTGAGTCTGAGCAGGCACTGCTCTGCTCCAGCCTCTGGTGCCTGGGGGGGGACAGCCACCCCCCCATGTGCCACCGTGGCAGCTTCCTGCCCAGGTGCTCCTTGCTCACCCCCTGCTCCAGGGTTGTCTGGAAACGTGGCTGGAGGGGAGGGACCTCCGCGGGCACAGCAGCGAGTCCAGCAGTCCCTTCCACGGACAGCTGCTGGCAGAGCTCTGCTTCCCCCAGAGACAGCCGTGCTCCCCAGGCTCCTGCTGCTCCCTGGAGATCGAGGGGCTGTGTCTGCTGCCAGGTTGCATCTGCTGAGAGGCCCCAGGTGAGTGATGGCTGGGAATCGTGTTGGAGATGCAGCACCCCTGTGGTGTGTCTCACGTGAGGCAACCACGGCCAGCTGGGCCCTGGGAGCCATCCTCGCCGTGCTGTCCTCGCTCATCATCACTGCCAACGTGCCGGTGGCCATTGTCCTGCTCTGCCACATTCGGAAGAGCGGCTCCAAGGGGCTCTGTTTTGTCCTCAATCTTGCCTTGGCGGATGCCATGGTTGGCTTCACAGTCATGGGCCTGGCCATGGATGAGCTTTCCCAGCCCTTTCATCCTTCCCAGAACTTTTGCATCCTGAGAATGGCTTTTGTGACCTCTTCCTGTGCTGCCTCCATCCTGTCCCTGATCCTGGTTGCATGTGACAGGCACCTGGCGGTCCGGAAGCCTTTCCACTATTTCCAGCTGGTGACAGGCCTGCGGGTCGGACTGTGCTTGGTGGGGCTCTGGCTGTTTGCTGCCATCGTTGGCTTCCTCCCGGTCTTCATCCCCCACTTCCAGAGGATCTCCAACCACTGGAAATGCTCCTTCTTCAACGTCTTCCACCCTTCCTACATGCTCACTATGTTCTGCCTCGGCTTCTTCCCCGCACTCTTCCTCTTCCTCTACCTCTACTGTGACATGCTGAAAATCGCCTCGGTGCACGTGCAGCACATCCAGGAGGTGGAGCAGGCGGGGCTGGGTGGGGGCTGTGTCCCACCCCGTGCCACCGGTGACATGAAGGCCATGCGCACGGTGGCCGTGCTCATCGGGTGCTTCACCCTCTCCTGGCTGCCCTTCTTCATCGCCAGCGTTGTGCAGTTGGCCTGCCCTGAGTGCTTCCCCTACAAAGTCATTGAGAACTTCCTCTGGCTGCTGGGGCTGGGCAACTCCCTCCTGAACCCGCTGCTCTATTCCTACTGGCAGAGGGACGTGCAGCTCCAGGTCTCCCAGCTGGCTGCAGGTGTGAAGAGGAGGGTCCTGCTCCACCTGGGCAATGGCCGCTGTTTCCCTGGCAGAGACACCAAGGCTCCTCCTGCTGTGTCCTGCCTGGAGCTCCAGGACTGACTTGGAAAGGAGTGGCTGTCTCTGCCTTACCAGCTCCCCTCCTGCATTGTGGCCATGAACTCGGGGCCTGCCAGCTGTGAAGGAGGTCACAGATGGGTGGGAGCAGTCTGGATGTTAATTCCCAGGAACCATCAGGGCCGGATTCCAGCCTGCCCACCACCCCACAGCCCCCAGCACAGCCGGCTTCAGCCCAGCCCCAGGCATCCCAGGTTGCAGGTGTTCCCTGGAGAGCCTCTGCTGGAGCAGCCCCGTGTCTCCTGGACCAAGCTCTCCCACTCGCTCTGCAGGCAAAGACCCTTCGCCCATCGCTACCCAGCTTCCCCCGCCAGGTGTGCACCCCCTGACACCCGCCCCAATTGGCAACACTGGCTCTATGGGCAACAAACCCCCTGTTCCTGGGGCAGGTGTGGGCACAGGGAGGGCTCTATCCCCTTGGCCCTGGCAGCAGAGGCTGGGCAGGCTGTGAACATCCCTGAGCTCTCCTGGACCACAGGTGTTCCCCCTCCCTAACCAAACCCACCTCTCAGTTCTACACAGGGCCATCCCTGCTTTGGGCTGTGACCACATGGAGCAGAGGTGAGGGGGTGGGTTTGGGCGTGGGGGACAGAGAGGGCTGGGCAGTGGCCATGCCTGTGTAGGGGGTGGTGTAACCCAGGGCAGGGGCACAGCCTGGGCACTGCTGTCAGTGTTTACCCAGGCTGTAAAGCGAGTCAATGAGTAACTGGCTGAACAAGGAGAGGGAGGATTGGCTGCCTCAGAGATCCTAACGAAGGAGAGCTGCTGTGTCCCACTGAGGATTTGTGACTGGAAGGGTCCCTGCACACCCACCCTGCCCATGGGAGCCCCCCTTCTGCCCTAGTGGCCAGATGGCTGCCCCTGCCAGAGGCTAAAGCGGTACTTAATTGCTTCTCATAAAATGTTTCCATTACATCCACACGGCAAGAAAACTTCCCTCAGAAGATGTTGATTTGCTAAAAAAGTACATTACTCTGAAAATGAGGGTGCTCTGCATGAAACAGCAGCTGTTCCCACCTGTGTCCTTGCCCCACTAGCTGACACAAAGGCTCAGGGCTGTATCCACTTGCATCCGGAACTTGCCATGAAGCTAAGGTCTTCCCCATCCTGGAGAAAGAGGCAAAAATAAAAGTGTCTTTAAAGAAGACCTCAAACAAGAGCCCTATGTGGCATTCCCCTTGGCCAGGGAAGGGCCTGGGACCAGGTCCCACATGGCAGACACCGTTCCTGGCTGTGCCAGAGGAACTGCACCTGGGGGAGGGCTGCCCAGAGCAGGCTGGCTCTGGGAGCTGCTGCAGGGGGATCTGGTGGGTGGATGCAGCCTGACTCAGCTCTGGGATCAGCCCATTATCTCCCTGCACCGGGGATTTGCTGCCTGTTCTTGGTGACGCCTGAGCTCTGCTGGCTGTGGCTTTGATCATCCTCAACCTCGCTGAGCCTCTGCTTCCCTCAAACGTGTTCCTGCAGCAGGTCCCAGCGGGAACAGGGACACTTTGGACATGGGCCTTGAGCTGCTTCCCGAGCTTTCTGACTGCCAGCTCT